ATTGTAAAGTTGGTTGGTTCAATTTCAACTGGAGAATTTCACAGCTTTCTCTGTATTTTAATTAGTGCAGTCGTATATTTAATTAAAGAAACAGCAAATACATGTAAATTCTTTTATCGGTGTGTTAAATAAATGTAATAAGAAAGTTAGCAGATTTTTGTGAATTTAATATCAGTGGACTATAAAATTCTTTTGAAAATAAATCACGTTTCTATGTAGTTTAATTATTGGTGTATCAAAAAATTAGTGAATCAATAGATGTGTTCAATCAAAAACAAAAAATTCTAAAATATAAAATTTTTTAAAATCTGCACATTCCACATTCATTACACTATAATCGCCCAAAAGTAACTTTTCACCGACATTCTCAAGAAAAGACTTTCAAACTTTTCAACCATTTCTTCAACCTTCTAATTTGCATTTCCTCTCCTTATCTAAGTTCATGAATGAAATCGACCACTTCTCTGTTATTTTATTCGTGTAAAAAAGGGGAACAGCTAGAAACAACGTACACGTACATATACGCGAGAGAAATTGTGTTCATTGAAAACGCGGCTTAACGCAAACGAGCCGATTAGTCAGCGTGCACGTACAGTACGTAACGCCAGGTTTTTTTACCGATGATCTATAAAGCCCTGGTGGATCGCGTAACGCATTCTCTACGATCGTGATTTTATCGAGATCACGATGATTACGCGTCGTAATATAGATCGCGGAAGAACGTGACTGTCACAGCTTGTTTGAGATACGTATTGATACGTGAAATTGCAACGATCGAGAGAAACGGAATAGTAATCGTAAACACAGCGTTGAGATAAATGCAACGCGCCACGTTGAACGCTCGCCGGTGAACGTATTGCTACATACGTTTCGAAACGGTGATTAAATAAGGCTAACGCTACGTTTATACTAATACTAATGTTTGTACGCTAATACCAATACTACGATGCACGTGGAATACTGACATTAGCTTTTCGTCACTATTAACCCCTTGCCTTATGACAACTGGTCAGACTCGTAGTACAGATTTTGGTGAAAGTGTGACAAAAGCAGTTATATCAGTAATGAAGAAGAACTTGAATTTTAAATTCAGTTTTAATCTTACAAAACTGAGAATTGTCAAATAGAAATAATATCTAATAAATTAGCTTTTCTTACTTCACATGGTATTCAAATAATAAATAGCTTACATTTGCACGCACGTAGATAAAAAAATCATATGTCAAGGGGTTAATGTTGACATGGAGCAAACTGTATTTAGCTCACGTTAGAACATAATATTTCTATTCTTTTTTTTTTCACTGGTTTTGTTAACATTGGAATTGTGAAAATTATGAAAATTGTTTACTTTAGATTAGTGTGTTTTGATAAATAGATAATTGTTAAATTTAATAATATTTTTAAAGTGAAAATATAAAAAGGAAATATATAAAAACAGATCCCTAGAAACGCTACATTCTCAATTTTAGTGTTTTAGGGTTAACATAATGGAAAATTAAATATTTGATATATTTTTTGATTTTATTTTATTGTTGTTTCTGTGGCAAATTATATCACTTACAAGTTTCCTATCTTAACTGAGGAAGCGGAACGAGTACTTTTTACGAGAAAGAACGTTCTGCAAAGAAAATGTAGGATCTAATCATCGAGGAAATATTCGAACGATGCGTTAATACGTTAATCTACGATTCGATCGGTCCAAAGTCATTCGTTATTAATGACATACATAAAAAGAAATACCACCTCTATCGTGTGGATCGCCTTGAAACGTGCCGTTTTCGGTTCACCATCTCATCCTTCGTTCGACTGGCCCTCGATTAACTATTCTAAATAATTCCTGCGACGATTCAGGATGTACTGTTAAAAGGACGGAACACCTTAATCGTATTACAAGGGCACTTATATTATGAAACTAACGTGATTAATTGAATCGATTGAATTACACTTGAACAGACGTTTCTCGAGACACTTAAGATTCGAGGAAAACGAAGTGAAAAAATCTCGTCTATCGGAATTCGATAACATGAAATGTAACACAAAACTTGTTACATTTTTTATGGGTTTAATATCGAAGTTAATGAGAGAAAATTTGAGTATCGTTGGAATTCGTTTTTTAAGGTGAAGTGGAACGGTAAAATTTGAGGATTTGGGAATTGCTGACTTCGGAAATTGGAGAGTGTGAAAATCTGGAAATTTGGCAATTTGAGGATTTGGGAATTGCAGACTTCGGAAATTGGAGAGTGTGAAAATTTGGAAATTTGGCAATTCCAGGATTTGGAAATTTAGAGATTCCTGAATTTGGAAACTTGAGAATCCGAGAATTTCGAAATTCCAAAAATTGGGAATTTAAAAAATTTGAGAACTCCAGAATTTGGAAATTTCAAAAGTCGGAAATTCGGAAATCTGAGAATTCGAGAGCTTGAAAATTTCAAAAATCGAAATTTGCGAATTCGAGAGATTGGAAATTTGAAAATTTGGGAATTCCATACCTCAGAAATTCAAGAATACTCAAATTTCCAAAATACGAGAATTCAAAAATTCTCTAATTTGGGAACTTGAGTATTCCAAAATCCCCACTTCGGATCTTCGAAAATCTAAATACTTAAAAATAGCGAATTTCCGTATAACCGGATAACTATACACTTTCCGTTATTTCTCTTTTTACCGTCAAGTTCGTTGCTTTTATTTCCATTTAAAAATAGGCTTAGATATCGAGGAACAATCGACCGCAAGTTTCCCCCCTCCAAGAGGTCTCAGATATTAGCGAAACCGGTTCGATTTCATTTCGCGCGAGCGAATGAACATGTCCTGCAGCTGGAAAAATGCTCGAACGCCTTCGACTTCGCGAACCGAGAGAACTACACCTTATTTCCTGTCACAAGCCGGACTAAACCGATTCCGATCGGTTAAATGCTTGTTACGTAACAGCTCGAAATATTGCATTAAATCGATTCTGCCAGCTGTGGAACTTCCGTTCTATCTGTAACACTTTTCAACCCTTTTTTTTTTTTACTCCTCGATAAATTACAGAGTGGCGAACGCTAATTGAAATCTAATTGCCTGGGAAACCATGCTACATAGTATGTAATTGGACAAATTGAACGGTTTTATGTTGAATTCGTTAATTTATTGCAGGAAGAACTTTTTTACATGGTTGAAAAATTGGTATTTTAAAATAGGAAATATTAAATTCATAATTCTTCTTTCCACTGCATTGCAATACCTTTTTTATGAAACATGTTTATACTCGAGAAAAATGATGGTAAAATTCATCTCAGAATTTACTCCCTCCAATTTTCTTCGAAAATAAAAAAATTATTTTGAAAAAGGAAGTTTCATGATTTTTCTTTGCATTACCTTGCAATATTTCTTCACGAAAAATTTGCATGGTTCAGAAAAAGGATTGTAAAATTCATCTCTGAATTTTTCACCTTCCAATTTTCTTCAAAGATAAAAAGAAACTTCAAAATTCACCCTCAAAAATATTTCTAACCTTAAATTTATGTTTTTTGCGAAATTCTTCAAACTCCAAATACAATTTGAGTAAATTTTTTTGAATAAACAACCGAGGTATCTTAAATGTCGTCAAACGCGCCCAATTCACTTTGAAGCTTTGCCGCGTTTCAAGAGCCGCGAGGAAACGAACGGCGATATCGCGATCGAGGCAGCAAGCAACGCTCGTACAGCGATTTATCACGGAAAAATTGCATCGGCGGTGACTCGTTTGGAAACTAGATGAATAGACGTTGAGCGGTTGTGTATATCGGTTTAGCCAGGGCAATGGAACGCTCGCGGTTGCGTACTACGCAACGTAATGGATAGTTAGCGGCGTTACGACACATGTTATTACGGCAAATGGCTAGAAAATGTGGATGCAACGAGCTCACGAAAACCTGAATCCTGCGCGCGATCGAACGTGAAAGAGCTCGGATCGATCGTCAATTGCTGAGAGAACGAAGAGACGATGAAGAAAAGAGAGGTGGAGGAGGAGGTCGGAGGAGAAGGACCATGACCTATGTCTCGAATAAAGTTGCTTGATTTATTGGCACACATTGGGTTCTAAAATACTGGAGGTGAACGAACATCTGTTGAGTTTGGTGGGTTTTTTTGGAAATTTGAGAATTTGGGAATGTGAGTATTCTGGAATTTTCTGAATTGGAGATTTAGGGGACTTGAGAATTTGGAGATTTGAGGATTTGAAAGTTGGAGACTTTGGAAATTTGAGAATATGGGGATTGGAAAATTTGAGAATATGGGGATTGGGAAATTTGAGAATATGGGGATTGGGAAATTTGAGAATATGGGGATTGGGAAATTTGGGAACTCCAGAATTTGGAAATTGGGAAATATGGGGATTCGAAAATTTGAGAACTCCTCTATTTGGAAATTTGAGAATATGTGGATTTGGAAATTTGAGAATATGGGAATTTGAAAATTTGAGAACATGAGGAATGGAAAATTTGAGAACTCCAGAATTTGAAAATTTGGGAACATGAGGAATGGGAAATTTGAGAACTCCAGAATTTGAAAATTTGAGAACATGAGGATTGGGAAATTTGAGAACTCCAGAATTTGAAAATTTGAGAATATGAAGACTCGAAAATTTGAGAACTCCAGAAATTGAAAATTGGGAAATATGAGGATTCGGAAATTTCAGAACTCCTCTATTTGGAAATTTGAGAGTCCCAAAGTTTGGAAACTTGAGTGTCAAAAGTTAGAAAATTGAGAGTCCCAAAAGTTGAAAATTGAAGAATCCCAAAAATGCGAAATTTGGGAATCCCAAAATTTGAAAACTTGAAATTCCCCAAATTTCTAAATTTAAAAATTCGGAAGTTCCAGTGTTTATAAAACAGAAACCCTCGAACCAATCCCCCAGTAATCAGAGAACAAAGCCTCGAGCTAAAAAGAGAGAGGAGAAGGAGAAACAGTATCATGACCTATGCTTGGAACAATGATGCTTGATTTATTGGCACGCGTTGTGCTTTAGAATATTAGAGGTGAACGAACACCTGTTGAACCTGGCCATTTTTGGTACCTAAACCTACGCTGAAGAAAGAATGGATGAATGGTGGGAGTATCGAGGTGATGATGATGGAATGAGTATGTCGAAACATAGTTTGCACACTATCGTGCTAATATAAATATGTTACAATAATTATGTTGAAATAACTATAAATAATAATAAGATAATTACACTGAAACATACTCCTCCAGAATTTCCAAACACCTCGTCGATTAAAACTTAGAAAAAAGACAAACCATTCTCTATAATCATCCTTATCCAACTATATCTACAAACTCCTCCCACAACGACATCCGTACAAAAATCCGCAAGCTTCTCTAAAACCAGTGGAATCTGTAAACATTTACAAGTCAGATTTTCACAACTTCTGACCATTCGAAATGCGACGTGAAGATGCAATTTTCCACGTGGCTCGTAAATATGCAAACGAAACGTACGTTTGCATATTTTTTTATCTCCACATGGAAGAGACGGAAATTATTATACCGTGTTGTAGGAATGTTCCAAGGAGCACCTGAACAGTAATTACGTGCAATGTTTAGATACTCGGTTGTTGGCGTTTAGAAATTCTACACGAGGATCTGAAGGACTCGTTTGACCTGTCATAAATCTGAGAAAAAAGGTCGCCGCCGGTCGACTCATCTCGATTCCACCTCGATTCCATCTAGCCTCGTTGCATCCAATCCCGAAGAAATTCCCCTCACGCTCCCACGAGAGAACGAAATGAAAATTTCAATCGTTTCGTTGGTTAATTCAGAGATCAAGTTCATTAGCCTCGTTCGATGATTTAGCATTCGAAGATTCGAGGATCAAGGTGATCCAGCTGTTTGCTCGATTCGTACTGTTGTTGGTGTACTGTGCGATGGAAGAATTACGAGCTACTGTTTCGTTTTCTTTTTCTGTTCTATAGGAACTTGGTTTACGTACAGTTTGAGGTTATAATCTTTGGCACTGGTGAAATTGAAATTGGTTACTTTAAATTCTGAAGGTTCAATGTTATCGTGGTAAAATGTGTTTTGCTGTTCAGCTATCTTTCTTTGACACAGTTTGACGTCGATTTGATGCTAGTCACGCAGTATTTGTGTAGTTTTTAACTCTGTTGCAGGTTGGAAAATTACGGGATATGGCAATTTGGGAATTCGAGAGTTTGGAAATTTGAAAATTTGAGGATTACAGAAGTTGGAAATTTGAGAATTGCAGAGTCTGAGAATACAGGAATTTCAGAATTTGGAAATTTGAGAATTGCAGAGTCTGAGAATACGAGAATTTCAGAATTTGGAAAGTTGAGAATTGCAGAGTCTGAGAATACGAGAATTTCAGAATTTGGAAATTTGAGAATTGCAGAGTCTGAGAATACGAGAATTTCAGAATTTGGAAATTTGAGGACTCCAGAATTTGGAAATTGGAAAATTTGTGGATACGAAAATTTAAAAATTCGAGATTTCCCGAGTTTGGGAATTCAGAAATTCCAGAGTCCAGAAATCTGAAACTTCCAGAGCTTGGGAATTCGGAAATTCCAGAGTCCGGAAATCTGAAACTTCCAGAGCTTGGGAATTCGGAAATTCCAGAGTCCGGAAATCTGAAACTTCCAGAGACCGGAAATTCGAAAATTCCACAATCCGAAAATTTGAGAATTCGAGAGTTTAGAAATTCGGAAATTCCGAAATCCGAAAATTTGCGAATTCAAAACTATGAAAATTTAAAGATTCCAAAGTTCCAGAATGCAGAAATTTGAAATCTCAATCCCACAACATCCTCCTCCCAAATCAATCAATTTCCTCTGAAAAAACCGATACCAGAGGATTTCTACCTTAAAATCTCCGCAGCCTTCACAGAGAAGACTTTACCATTCCTAAACACCAGACACAACCAAAACAGGAACTACACTGACGGAAGTGTATACTTGGGAACGCCTTCTAAGTAGTTTCACGGCCGTGTCGTGATCGTTGAGAAGTCTCGAGGGCGAGCCTCTTCCCGATGTTCACAAACCGGGCAACTCGCGAAATATGGTTTGTGTCCTCGAAAATAAAAGTCTGTAATGTCAACGAACTTACAGAACGAACGTGTTATCACCTTGACTTAAGTCTCGTTAAAACGTACGTCTAATCGTTTATTCCTCGCGACGTGTTTCCCTGACCTACATGTTTCTTTTTCTCTGCCCACACACACGCACACACGCGCTTGCATAGCGGGCTCTAGCCGCTTTAGAGCGGGATTCCTCGCGGTAAAAGCTGGATCAGCGCGAGTAACAAGAGTAGCGAAATCATCTGAGTCACTGGTGTTGTCTACAGGCGAGAAGAACGAGGAGAAAGAAGGGAAGGAGACAGGTGATGTCATTCGTAGAAGCCTTGTTCCGTGATTTTTCAAACTTTTCGAACACTTTTGCGAATTTTCCCGATTTTCATGTCTACCGATTTGTATTATATCTATAATTATATTTCAAATTTTACATATTTACTTTACTATTTAAAATATAAAATGTTAAAATATTTACTTCACTATTTAAGATATGAAATATTGAATTTAAAAATGTAAATTTGGTATTTCACATTTAATAAATATGGTATTTGAATTTTGACATAAATTTGAATTTTTTAGGTAAACCCTTTTTCTGTGAAAATTTAGAATTTTCATGAGTTGGATTTTTTTGGGGGGAATTGGTACTTGTCCTTTTTATTAGAGAAGTTCATACGAGGTTTGATTGGGTGATTGTTAATTCGATAGAATTGAAAGATTGTACTAACCAGTTTCAAATTCGTGGCGACGAATACGGTATAGACGCAGCAACTTCCCAGTTGGTACACCATAAGGAATAAGTTTATGATGTGGCTGCAAACAAAGCATTTTTCTCGGTTGAAGTAATAACAGAAATCTTACCGAGTGATTATCTCGCTTGTAAAGGCAATTGCGTGCGGGCAAAAGTGATTTTTCATTTTATCGCGATCTTGACACACTAAACGTTCTCGACGTACAGGTATATTCCGCGTTTGAAGTGTTAGGTTTCAGTAACAAGTGGATAGTAAACTATAAGAATTATATTCAAAAAAAAGTTCAGTCATTTCTTGCTCCTTAAACTCTTTCCAAATCTCTACTATCACAGAAATTGTTCAATTATTATCCATTTGTACTCCAAGCATTTTTTGATAAGATTAGACAGCAATTTCAGTGTAATTTTGCAGTGAAACTTTTGAAAATTCAAAGATTTGTTAAGAAAAACAAGACTTTTAATATCTAGGTTGCATTATTTTCATGATATTAAAAAACTTGAATTTCACATTTCAAAGTTCTCCAGAGTAATTAAGTATGTCGCCATAACTGCGCCTTTGGAGTGCAAAGGGTTAACTAAATTATAGACCAAAAGTTGAAATTAAAAATCAAAATTGTCGAATTTCATTCTTTGCAAATTCCTGTAATTTTAATCTTAAACTCCTCCCAAATCTCTGTTTTTCAACTAAATAATTGTGTGTCGTTTACTTGTATTTTGTTATATGTTAGAATTATATTTTTATTCATGTTTTTCAGTGTTAATTGCGTTGAAATACTCACACAGACGCCTTCGCAAGTGGCCTAAGCGGTCTTGGACCCACAGAGAGCGCAGCTTCCGCTGTCGCGGGGTAAGTTAAAGATGGCACCCTTTTCCTCTTGCAAAGCTCGTACTCAGAACTGACGAGTATCCGTATACAGTAAGTACAAAAGAGACCAATGATAATCGTAGCCACTATACCGATACCGTAGCCAGAATTGTGAAAGGCCTTTGGCATCGCGAGAATTCCGGTACCCAGACTGCCTTTCAACAGATGCAACAGCGTCTCTAGACTCCTGAAACATTTAACACAGATTTCTGGTTCATTTTTAATAGGTGTTATGTTTATTTGAACACCCTATAACTGGATTTTTCTTTGTTAAGTAAAATTTGATGTTTTGATGAAGGAAGAAAGAGTTAAGAATGATTCTATAATAGTGCAGCAATGAATTTATTATTAATTTTTCTAAAATTTGAAAATTTCAGAATTTCAAAGTTTGGATATTCGAAAATTTCGGAACCTGGAAATTTGAGAGGTCGAGACTTTGGAAACCTGAAAATTTGAGTATTCCAGAATTTGAAA